GTAATTATGTTGGGTCTAAGAATTCATAAGAGTTTGAGGGACATCGTTCGATTTTAGGGGCGGTTAAACAGGAGTTTGAAGCAATAAAAGTCTCCAAAAATTTGGGTACAGGGTGAGGCGCCGCGCCACTTAGTGCGCCCCAACTTTTCGCACTGTGCCCCAACCCACGGTCAGTAGCTTAGGGCTGGGGCCGCACGCCACTCAGTGAGTCAGGGTCTTTAGGTCCCCTACCTTTCCGACCTTCTTTCCGTGTGAGTTTCCTCGAATCGTACCTCTGTTTTCTACTTGATATCCACACTCTAAACTACATCTAAACATCGAGAGATTATTCATAACATGAATCATAATCCTTGAATTCATAATTCAAATTCAAGGAAAGAGTTAAGAGTAAAGTCTTGAGAGTTCTTCGAGTCATTTTAAGAAGTCCCTTACAATCTTTTAAAACTTGTTTTAAGACTTGAGTATTTGAGTTTGAGGAAGAGAAGCGTTGTGTTTCATTTTTTTAAATGAATATATGGAAACTAAGTATTCCCAAGAGTAAATGTTTTTACATTTCAAACGAGGGGAAACCCCGATTTTCAAAGGAGTTCATAAGGAGTTTTGAGTACTATCTCTTTTAAGAGAAATCTTTTGAGTAATAATCTCAAAGTTGAGGATGAGATTTTTTTCTAAACATATGATCTAAGTTATATTTTGGGAATAGTATTGAGCACCGATATAGGGACGAGTTCAGATAACTCAAAGTCCTCATAAACCATGTAGCCAACATGAATAGAAAGAGTCTTACTTTTTAGATGACTCCTTATTGAGTTTTAAGCTTAGCTTAGTGGATCCACTTAGTTGAGGAGTTTTATACCCTAACAAGGTATAGGAGAGTTTTGGCAGCATGGGCGAGACGTAGTATCATTACATAGCTCATAGTGATGGTTGTCGGTTAGAGAATCTCCCAAACAGAGTTATTTTATATTTTTACATACAAACTGAGTTATTATTGTATTTTTTGTAACATCGAGGTGTTATCTACTGTTTTAAATGTTTTATATAAACTGCATATTTATTGTTGTTTTTATATTGCTTTGAGTTGAGTATCCATAAGTTGAGTAGAGTCGAGGTAAGTATGTTTCCTTCATTCCAAGTTCAAGTTGTTATGTTATGTTCAGTATTCCCCGTACATGCTTGTAAATTCAATGTAATGATGTTATTTTGCCTATATCGTTTCATTATGTGGATACAGGAGATCAGGGTCATCAATAGGAGATTCGTTGATACCATTTGCAGTTCCAGAGTTGTTTGGTGATCCTCCTTGCTTTCGAAGGATAGTTTATATATTTTCATCTATTTTATTTTTGTTAGGATGATCGGGGGTCTTGTCCCGACATCCCTCATATTATTAGAAGCTTCATAGATAGATAGATAGTAGCAGTTCATGAGTCTTTTTCATTTCCAGTATTTAATGTTCGAAAAAGGATAAAACATACCCTCAAACTATACGAAAAGATCTAAAAATACCCTTCATCCATCTATTAAGTTAAAAATACCCATCCATCCATCTTTTTGGCTCACTTTTTCTCATTAAACTTATAGTCATTTCTTTATTTTATTTTTTACAATTATTTATTTTGAGTTATTTCTTATTGGGTAAAATAAAAAATCTCACCCCCACCAAAGTTGATGATATGGCAAACAAGATGAACTAAAAATTACATATTAGCAAATAAAAAAAAGGTTAAGATCTAGATAATGAGAAGATATAAAGTGAACTAAAGATCCAACAAAATACCAACTTTCCGATAACCAAATTTTATAAAAAACTTCTACTTACTAAATTTATAAAAATTGAATTTTTTTGTTGGTTTCTGAAAATATATATATTGCCAGAATAAATGAAGAAGATTGGACATAGACCCATTAATCCTGTTTCTCTATTGAATCTTACCCCAAATTGTTCTGTCTCTAGGATTAATTGAACCTAAATACCGATTTTGGTGTGGCTGCAGGTGAATTTGGTCAGAAGCTTAAGTGATAACAATGCCGATTTGGTAAAGGAGAATATATGGTAAGCTTTGTGGATGATGTTGTTTTATGAGCTTATGGGAAAGATGGTAGTTTTTGATTCCATACTTTTAGTCGTTGGTAATCAATGGAGTATTTTGGTGGTGATATATAGTTCAACTTGCACAATGTTAAGTGGTAAAATTTTCTCTAATTATATCCATTTATTAAAGCAATGGAAATAATCCGGCATTTATTTTAGCAATATAGTTTTAACAACAATTTAAATATTTTAACTTTCATAACACAAGTAAATATAAATGTGACACAAATATGTATAATTTTTTGATAAAATTAGTTGTCGAAAAAAAGTTGAATCTTTCAGTTCAGTTTTATTTCTTCTCCATTTCAAGTTCTTAGCCCTTTTTTATTTTCTAATTTGTAAATTAAATTTAGTTCATTTGATTTGCGATGTCATTTGGTGAGGGTGAGGTTTTTTTTTTATTCTACCCAATAGAAAAATAACACATAATAAACATTTTTTTTAAAACAAAATAAAGAACGACTTGTTAGTTTCAAGGGTAGATGTGAGCCATAAAGGTGAATGGAGGGGTATTTTTAGCAAAATAGATTGACGAGGGGTATTTTTAGACCTTTTCCTATAGTTCAAGGGTATTTTTGGCCCTCTTCCGTTTAATGTTTAAAGACTTGAGTTGCCGCTTTGGCCAGTGAATGTTTTACAGAAAATATTCTGAGTATTTATTTTGAAACATTGAGTTAAAACTTTACATTTAAAGCTCTTTTATTTTTGAGTAAGTCTTCCGGTGAGTATTGAGCCAGACCAAGGGTTCGTTCGGGGCCAGTAATGGTTTTTGAGTGCCGGCCACATCCAAGATGTAGGATCGGGGCGTGACACCATGTCAACACTTTCAATATTTATTTAAAAAGTCAATATTTTGGTTTGTTATGAAGCTGACTGTATTTATTTAATTTGATAGGATACACGTTTTTAATCACATAATGGAGAGAATCATGGGAAAAAATATTTTTAAAAAGGTAAAATTATTTCCCTTAGTTTTTGATCCTTACTTGTTTGAACTTTTTTAAATATGATTTTATCTGAGATATATTTGGATGAACTTCTTTAAATATGATTTTTTGTGTCATTATTTTAAAATGTAATTGAAATATAAATTGTGAGTGACATACAATTATGACAACTACATAATAATAAAGTAATACAGATTTTTTGGCATTCAAATTGAGAATGGAATACAAAGTGATAATGAAATACAAATAGTAGTGTGTTTCTGTAGATCATTTTAATGGTGTAATAATGATAAAAATTTCAAAATGAAATTATTTATACATTCAAAAACATCAGCAATTTTAAAATGGTTATCACTCGAGAAAACCAAAAAACAATATTTATTAAAACCAGTATTTTTAACTATTTATTAAAGAACTAATATTTTTAGTATTTTTAACAATTCATTAGAATCAGTCTTTTCACCATTAGTTTATGTTAGCTACAAGCTTAACTTCCTTTTAGGTTATAATTAATATTTATTGAACTTTTAATTATTTATTAAAATAAGTAATCATATATATTTGTATTTGTCTTATATAATTAATTAAACTTATTAGGTTTTAAAGTAGTGTGTGTCTGTAGATCATTTTAATGGTGCAGTAATGATAAAAAATTTAAATTAAATTATTTATACATTAAAAAAACATCATCAATTTTAAAATGGTTATCACTCTAGAAAACCAAAAAACAAATAACCTATTAATTTTCTTTTTGATACCACCTCAAATAATAATTAGTTAGTTAAAAAGCTAAAATGATCATTTTGATGGTTAAATTTAAATATAAAAAGGATCAAAGGAAAACTGTATTAATAAATACACAACTTCATAAAAATAATAATTAAAAATCTATATTCAATTCAGTTTTCTTTGTACTTTTTTGGGTGTGGTGGGATGGGTGGGGGTGAGAGTGAGGGTGATTGGGGCTTCCATACACTTCTATGAATATATATATTTTCTCTTTCTTTTCTCCTACATTCCTATAAAAGTCTATAGAGATACTATAAAAACATCAACTAAAGTTTAAAGAAAATAATAACTGTGATATCTTGATTTTTCCTTTTCCTTCTTCAACATTTACTCAATCTTTGCTAACGCATATTTTGTTAACAACAACATCCCTTATTGCTTCTTTATTCATTGAAATCCTTTCATTCTCAAGGTCTGACATATAATTTTTAACTTCTTTTAGTATCATATCTTGCAAAACTATCAAAAATTCTAGACTCAGCAATTGTTTCTTCGTACTTGTTACCAACATTTCCACTCTGAGTTATTGAAATTTGGGGCATAAAATTTAATGGAGTGGGCTTAGATGCCGATATAGGTGCTAGTTGACCTATTCACTCGATTTGATTCACTAGATTCAAATCCTTGGAAGATTTGAATCCAGGTAAAGAGTGACTCAGATGTGTTGATGGATCGGGCGTTACTGGTGCCATAGATAGAAGAGTCAAAATTTCACCTAGTGGGGTACTAGATGGATAAAGACTCAACTGACGTAACCTAGATAAGCCTAAATTTTTCATATTAGATAAACATAGACTTAGAGATGTTGATGGTTTAGGCATTACTGGTGAAACTGAAAAAAAGAGGCAAAATTTCACCTAGTGGAGCAGGGGGATAAATACACAACTGAAGGCACCTAGATAAGCCCAAAGTAGTTAAATTAGATCCAGGTGGAGTTAGAGATATCAATGGATCAGGTATTATCGGTGAAAATTCTAAAAGTGGTGAAATTCGACCCGATGGGGCAATGTGCAGATACAGACACAACAGAGGGAACCTATCAAAACCCAAGTTGCTCAGATTAGATCTATATAGACTACCTGAATTTTTACCCACCCCAATACTGAATGATTTCTTCAACAGATGTTGAGGATTTTCCAAATTCAAATCTTCTAAAATCGAAGGGCTCTTCAATTAAGGGTGAAATTCCAATGATTTTTTATCGCATTATCTGTTCGACCTGGCAACAAACATGCTATCTTAGCCCATCGATTACCTATTTTGGCATGAGCTCTGATAATAGTATTATCTTCTTCAAGAGTGAAAAGTCGATGATCCACTTGAGGATTAAGCTGATTACACCACCGAAACCTACACAATTTGCCAGATTGACTCGAAATCAATTGGCCAATAAGAGACCAGTTCTCTGCTCCATGTTCCTTTACTAGCTTCTGCAATAGCTCGTCCTCTTTAGGATTCCATCGACGCTTGATCATACTTGTTTTCTTCATTCTTTCCAATGAAAACAACTAATGAGATATTATAATGGGAGAATAAGGTCTTGCATTTACTTGATTAAAAAACATGTAGGGAGAGAGGGATATATATAGTGGGGGAGGGGATAGAAGGAATAGGAGTTACCAAGTTAATAGGAAGTTATTAATTATAGTGTATCATATAGCTAAATCTCAAGAAATTAAGCAGTGTTTGGTGGTTTGCATCAGAGGGAATAGGATTGTAGTAATATTGAAGTTTGACTAGTAGTTATTTTAGGAATAAAAGCATAATAACATTCAAACAATTCATTTTAACTACAATTATAGTTTGACTGATAGTTGCTTTTAGGCAAATTCTTTTTAAGTGTATTCACATCAAACTAAAAAATATAAAATATTTACTTTGATATGTATTTTTATTATTTAATTATAATTGATCAACTATATTCTAAATTTATCATGAAAAATGATACCACGACCCGACTTCCCGAGTCATGATGACATCTACTATAACATGCCGATAGGTAAGTCAACCCGTACCCAAAACAACAAGAAATGAGTACCATGGTAGAAATAACTAGAAAATAACACTAACAATTAGAAAAGATAAAAACGGAAGAAAAGAAAAAATTATATAAAAAAGAAACCCTCCAAGAACCTGGATGTCAAGAGAACAAAGCTTTTTAATTTGAATAAATACAAGTCCCAAAAGTGGACCACAACAAACCTTCTCAACGGCAAAGGTTTAAGTCCAATTTTCTTGATAGATTCTTTCCTCTTGAGATAAGAGAGGAACTACTACTTGAGTTTATTAATCTCTGGCAAGGAAACATGAATGTGAAAGAATATGCTTTGAGGTTCACTCAATTGTTGAAATATGCTCCTTCTATAGTTTCTAACTCTAGGGTAAGGATAAGCAAGTTCATTTCGGGTGTTTCCCAATTGGTAGTGAAAGAGTGTCGTACGGCTATGGTTGTCCATGACATTAATATTTCTCGTCTTATGATTCATACCCAACATATTGAAGATGAGAAACTTAAGGAAATGTCTAGGGAGACCAAGCGGTGTAGAACTAGTGATGGTAATTTCTCTCATGCTATGTTCGATGGAAATGGTCATCCTAGGTATCGACAAAGGTTTTCTGGACAAGGTTCCTCTAATCCTCGTAGGTTCAACAAGGATAAGGTGTCTAACCCTAAAACTCAAGGAGGTGGTAGTGGATCTTCATTGCCAAATTGTGCTAAGTGTGGAAGAAATCATTAAGGCAAATGTTTAGCGCGTTCCAATACTTATTTTGGTTGTGGTAAGATGGACCAAAAGATAAGGAATTGTCCTTCGGTTGCTAAGAATGAGGGGGATAGTCATTGTAGGGCTCAACCCTATCCTTCATCCAGTCCAAGTTGTTCGGTACTAGTGCTCCCAAACAATATAGGTTCTATTCACTTCAGACTCGTGGTCAACAAGATGGTTCTCCCAACGTGGTTATCGATATATCAAAAGTCTTTCAATAGGATGTTTATGCTTTACTTGATCCCGGTGCTACCATGTATTTTGTTATGCCACATGTAGCTATGAGATTTGATGTGCTTCCTGATATGTTGTTAGATCTTTTTTCTATCTTTACTCCTATTGGTGATTCTATTATGGCTACTATAGAAAGTGTCCCATTTCCTTTTCCCATAGAGTTACTCTTGTTGATTTGGTAGAGCTTGATATGCTAGATTTTGATGTTATCATTGGTATGGATTGACTGCAGTCTTGTTATGCTTCTATTGATTTTAGAACCCGTGTAGTCAGATTTTTGTTTCCGAATGAGACTATCCTAGAGTGGAAGGGGGAAATTGTACGCCTATGAGTTAGTTTATTTCTTGTCTTAAATCTAGGAGGATGATTTCTAATGGTTGCATGTATTGAACATTGTTGTATGGGCTTTGTCCCAAGATTCTATTGTGTTAGATGGTTTTTGAGACACGAGTATTAGACTTCCGCTTTGCATTTAAAGACTTTGATGTTGTTTATATTATTTTAAATTTTACCGATTTTCTATTATCTTGACTATGAATGCTAAGTGGCTTATATGAGGCGTCTCGGGGTCTTGTATGCCATGTTACATCTAGGAGGTACCTCTGGGTCGTGACAAACTTGGTAATCAGAGCATCAGGTTTAGAAAGGTTATACGATGTCTCAAAACCACATCTAGTAGAGTCTTGTTCATGAGTGTGAAGCGCGCCAAATTTATGAATGAGAGGCTACAAGATGTTTAGGAAAGTTCAATTCTTCATTACTCTAAGTTGTGCGATAGAGTGTAACTCTATAAAGTGTCTCTCATAATCCTTATCCGATGGTCTACAAGATATTAGTACTTGAAGAGCTTTTTCTAGAAGGACTGAAGGAGAAAAGATTTGTCAAGGAGCTCATCCTCAAACTCCTCAAGCTCCGATTGACCCTTTGGCCGAGCAAGTGACTAATTCCGAGTTTAGGACTGCTTTTCAAGTGTTGGCTCAAGTCGTTACGGCCCAAGCCAATATTGAGGTTGTGGTACCCATGAACCCAAATGTGGGAACAACGACATCTAGAGTGAGGGACTTCACCAGGATCAATCCTCCAGAATTCTATGGTTCTAGGGTTGAGGAAGATCCTCAAGAGTTCATTCATGAGGTTTACAAGGTCTTGACTATTATGGGAGAGATTCAGGTGGAAAAGGAGGAATTGGCCACTTATCAACTTAAGGGTGTTGCTCAAATTTGGCTCAACTGATGAAAGGAAGCAAGACTGGTAGATGCAGGTCCCCTTCAATGGGAAAGGTTTAAGTCCAATTTTCTTGATAGATTCTTTCCTCTTGAGATGAGAAAGGAACTACTGCTTGAGTTTATTAATCTCTGGCAAGGAAACATGAATGTGAAAGAATATGCTTTGAGGTTCACTCAATTGTCGAAATATGCTCCTTCTATTATTTTTAACTCTAGGGTAAGGATGAGCAAGTTCATTTCGGGTGTTTTCGAATTGGTAGTGAAAGAGTGTCGTACGGCTATGCTTGTCCATGACATATATTTCTCATCTTATGATTCACACCCAACATATTGACGATGAGAAACTTAAGGAAATGTCTAGGGAGACCAAGAGGTGTAGAACTGGTGAGGGCAATTTCTCTCATGCTATGTTAGATGGAAATGGTCGTCCTAGGTATTGACAAAGGTTTTCTGGACAATGTTCCTCTAATGCTCGTAGGTTCAACAAGGATAAGGTGTCTAACCCTAAAACTCAAGGAGGTGGTAGTGGGTCTTCATTGCCAAATTGTGCTAAGTGTGGAAGAAATCATGAAGGTAAATGTTTAGCGCGTTCCAATACTTGTTTTGGTTGTGGTAAGATGGACCAAAGGATAAGGAATTGTCCTTCGGTTGCTAAGAATGAGGTGGATAGTCATTTTAGAACTCAACCCTATCCTTCATCCAGTCTAAGTGGTTCGGTACAAGTGCTCCCAAGCAATATTGGTTCTATTCACTTCAGACTCGTGGTGAACAAGATGGTTCTCCCAATGTTGTTATCGGTCTATCAAAAGTCTTTCAATAGGATGTTTATGCTTTACTTGATCCCCGTGCTACCTTGTCTTTTGTGATGCCATATGTGGCTATGAGATTTGATGTGCTTCCTGCTGTGTTGTTAGATCTTTTTTCTGTCTTTACTCCTATTGGTGATTCTATTATGGCTACTATAGAAAGTGTCCCATTTCCTTTTCCCATAGAGTTACTCTTGTTGATTTGGTAAAGCTTGATATGCTAGATTTTGATGTTATCCTTGGTATGGGTTGACTGCAGTCTTGTTATGCTTCTATTGATTTTAGAACCCGTGTAGTCAGATTTTTGTTTCTGAATGAGCCTATCCTAGAGTGGAATGGGGAAATTGTATGCCTATGAGTCAGTTTATTTCTTGTCTTAAAGCTAGGATGATGATTTATAATGGTTGCATGTACCATATATTTAGGGGAAGGGATATGGATTCCAGAACACCTACTTTTGAGTGTTAATGATTATCCGAAAGTGTTCCCAGATGATCCACCCGGTATTCCTCCAGAAAGGGAAATATATTTTGGTATTGGCCTTCTCCCAGATACGCAACCTATTTCTATTTTTCTTTATAGAATGGCTCCTGTAGAACTTAAGGAATTAAAGGAACAATTAAGAGATTTTTTGGATAAGGGTTTCTTCTGACCGAGTATGTCTCCATAGGGTGCTCTATTTTTGTTTGTTGAGAAGGAAGATGGTTCACTTTGTATGTGTATTGACTATCGGCAATTGAACAAGGTGACCATTAAGAATAAGTATCATCTTCCAAGAATAGATGATATTTTTGACCAACTCCAAGGAGTGAATTATTTTTCTAAGATTGACCTTAGGTCGGGTTATCAACAATTGAAGGTGAAAGATGATGATATTATGAAAATGACTTTAAGAACCCGGTATTGTCATTATTAGTTTTTGGTAAAGTCATTTGGGTTGACTATTGCTCCAGGGGTGTTTATGGATTTGATGAATAAGGATTTTAGACAATACCTTGACATGTTTGTTATTGTGTTCATTGATGGTATATTTATCTATTCTAGAAGTGAGAATGAGCATATTGATCATTCGAGGATCGTGTTGCAAATTCTTAAGGAACAACAACTTTTTGCAAAGTTTAGTAAGTGTGAGTTTTGGCTAATGTTTGTAGCTTTCCTTGGTCATATTATTTCAAGTGAGGGAATTGAGGTAGATTCTAAGAAGACGGATGTGGTCAGGAGTTGGCCTAGACCTCTAACCCCTTCGGATATTAGAAATTTCTTGGGTTTAGCTGGTTATTACAGAAGATTTGTTGAGGGGTTTTCTTTGATTGGACATTGAAAGATTTGAGTCAAAGAAGGCCAGGTTTATATGGTCCAAATTATGTGATAAGATTTTTCAAGAATTGAAAGATAAACTTACTTCTGCTCTGGTGTTAACTTTATCGGAAGGAATGTTTGGTTTTGTTGTTTAACGTTA